GCGCGACAGCGCCGTTCCTGAGTTCGGGGGCCTCCCTGGCAAGGGGCTCTCGGAGTAAATCGTGAGGAAGTGTCGAGCAGGAACCCTTGCCGTCGTGGCTGGGTTTCCGCGAACTTGCTTGAAATTCCGAGAAAGTCTGAAGCGAGAGCGCCTCTCCTATGTTCGAGGGCCTCTCTGGCCAGGGCCCTTGGAAATACATCTTGAGGAAGTATCGAACGAGGGCCCTCGTCGTCGTAGTTGGGCCTCCACCAATTTGATTCATTCACAAGAAAGTCACGAGCGACAGCGCCGTTCCTGAATTCGGGGGCCTTTGGCCAGGGGCTCTCGGAGTAAATCGTGAGGAGGTATCTAGCAATAGCCCTTGTCGTCGTGGCTGGGCCTCCGCCAGTTGAATTGCGAAGGAGGTTCGAGCGAGAGCGCCGTTCCTGCGTTCGGGGGCTCCCTTGCCAGGGTGTCTCGGGGTAAAGTGTGAGGAACTATCGAGCGGGAGCCGTTGTCGTCGTAGCCAGGCCTCCAAGGGCACACATTTACAGTCAAGCCCGCGCTCGAGCGGGAGCCTCGTTTTCAGAGTAATTGCAGCCGGCGTCGAGGCGAGGGCGCGCGGAACCGTTTCCTGAGATCAACAAAAAATGTTGCTAGAGAGGAGTATTCAACAACAGCAACAACAATCATGTTAAGACTGTTCGCTCTGATTTGCTCGAGTGACATGAAACGCGTATTTCCCAAACCCTCGATACCCGCGCTCTTCGTCTTGGATCGTACCCCTTTTGGGGGGGTACATGTTTCTTCCCTGCAGGCCGGGCCCCGGCAAGCGGCGGGGCGGCCGCGGACCGTCGGCTTGGCCGGCGGCAGCGCTGATCGGCGGCAACCCTACCTCAAGAGGGACGGACAGGGGACCGACCGCGACGACGACGACGACGACGGCGACAACGACGACGACGACGGCGACGAGCGAAAGCGCGAGCGAGAGCGAGAGCGAGAGCGACAGCGGGGCCACGAAGGGCAGCGAGGGGGGCCGCGAAGGGCGACAGCGGGGCCACGAAGAGCATGCGCATGGGGCCACGAAGGACGCGAACGAGCGGGGGGCACGTTGGGCAGATAATGCGGGGCCGCAGAGGGCAACGACGAGGCCACTGAGGATAGCAACGGAGCCACGTAGGACAGCGAGGGGGCCACGGGGCCACGAAGGGCATGCGTATGGGGCCACCACGGGCGCGCACGAGCGGGGGCCACAATGGGCGTACGTACGTTAGGCCGCAGAGCAAGGACGGAGCCACTGAGGGCAGCGACGGGGCCACGAAGGGCAGCGAGGAGGCCGCGAAGGGCGACGGCGGGGCCACGAAGGACGTGCATATGGGCCCACAACGGACGTGAACGAGCGGGGGCCACGAAGGGCATACGTATATGCGGCCACGAAGGGCAGCGAGGGGGCGACGAAGGGCTGCAACGGGGCCACGAAGGGCAGCTAAGGGGCCACGAAGGGCTGCAACGGTGCCGCGAAGGGCAACGAGGTGGCCACGAAGGGCTGCAACGGGGCCACGAAGGGCAGCGAGGGGGCAACGAAGGGTTGCAACGGGGCCTCGAATGGCAGCGAGAGGGCCACGAAGGGCTGCAACGGGCGCACGAATGGCAGCGTGGTGGCCACGGAGGGCTGCAACGGGGCCGCGAAGGCCAGCGAGGGGGCCACCGGGGCCACGAAGGGCAGCGAGATCCCGATTCCTAAGTGAGCTGTGGGGGAGTCCTAAGCGTCAGCGCGACCACTGGGCGCCTGAGTGTCGGGAGCGCGGCGCTTGAGCAAATTTGGGGAATTCCAACGCAAGAGCGCGATTTTCAAGTAAATTGCAAGCGAATCTCCAGCGAGAGCGCGACTAAGGAAGTCCAAAGCGAGAGCGCGACTCCTGAGTTAAATGCGAGGAAATCCCCGGCGGGAGCGGGGATCTTGGCTAAATTGCGGGGAAGTCTAAGGCGGGAGCCGTTGTTGTTGTAATCCAGGGGCCAGGGGCCCAGTTGGAACCCCGTGGCTTTCTTTCCTTAAAAACAAGGTGCGAACCCCAGGGGAACACACTTCAATGGACAAACACATAATGGTCACTGGAGGGGGATCAACAATCATTATTCTTCAGTAGTGAAAGTTGAATAGCAGCAGCGGCGGCAGCAACAACAACACCAAGAATAAGAAAAACAAGTATGAACAAATAACAAGAATACTGCTATTAGTATTCGCATGTGTTCTTATTAATACGAATAATAAGAATAGCAATGATAATGATATTAATAATAAGGATAATGCAAATAATCATACTAATATTCAGAATAATAATAAGAATAATGATGATGATGATGCTGATAATAAGAATACTAAAGGGCTCCAGAGCGTTCTGGATGCTCCCAGAGCGTTCCGGAACGTTCTGCGAAGGCCGCGGCGCCCCAGGCATTCTCCAAAGCCGCCGGATCTCGGAGATTCCGGGTGCATTCTCGCCTGGTGTGTTCCTCGTCTTGGCTGCGTTTTGCATGGGAGCATGGGCGGGACCAGGCAGGGCACCACGTGAGCACAGTGCAGCTGCCCGCGGCAAACCCAGCCTCAATGCCAGCGCGACATCAGCCCAGCTGCAGGATGTTTCCGACGACGACGACGACGACGACGACGACGACGACGACGGCGACGACGGCGACGGCGACGGCGACGGCGACGGCGACGGCGACGGCGACGTGCGGCGCGGCGGGGCGCGGCGCGGCTCGCCAGCACGAGTGGCGTCTCCTCGTGCTGCGTCCCCGGGGCCCCCCTGCCTCAGTCAGGAGGGGGAAAAAAAACACACAGACACAATGAATCGTCGACTCCCAGGAAAAAAATGAAAATACGGGAAGTGGGGGGGGGGAAGACAAAAACCCTAAAGATATGGGAAAACATGGGTAATGTTTTCATTTGTGTGTATGTATGTGTGTGTTGTGTGTGTTGTGTGTGTTGTGTGTGTTGTGTGTGTTGTGTGTGTTGTGTGTGTTGTGTGTGTGTGTTGTGTGTGTTGTGTGTGTTGTGTGTGTTGTGTGTGTTGTGTGTGTTGTGTGTGTGTGTGTGTGTGTGTGTGTGTGTGTGTGTTGTGTGTGTTGTGTGTGTTGTGTGTGTTGTGTGTGTTGTGTGTGTTGTGTGTGTGTGTGTGTGTGTGTGTGTGTGAGTGTGTGTGTGTGTGCGCGTGTGTGTGTGTGTATTTGTCCGTGTGTGTGTGTGTACGTGTGTGTGTGTGAATGTGTGTGTGTGAATGTGTGAATGTGTGTGTGTGTGAATGTGAATGTGAATGTGAATGTGAATGTGAATGTGAATGTGAATGTGAATGTGAATGTGAATGTGAATGTGTGTGTATGTGTGTGTGTGTCGGTGTGTGTGTGTGTGTCGGTGTGTGTGTGTGTGTGTGTCCTGGGGCCCCCCTGCCTCAGCCCCCGGGCGCGGGCCTTCCGGATTGGAAGGAGGCCGGCGCCTAGGAAGACCGGCCGAGGTCGCAGGGCTTGCGCCGATATCGCAGCGCCGCGACGGCTCTCGAGGAGGAGCGACTTTAAGCTTAGGTCGGGCCTGTCCCTCTACAGGGGGGAGATTCCAAAATAGTCCAAAAATAGCCTGGGGACGATTTTTTGACTCCTTTTGAGCATTTGGGGGGGTATCTTTTGAGTATTTTTTTTATTTTTCGCCCAACATCCCCCTGTAGGGGGACACGCCCGACTTAAGACTAAGCTGCTGTCAGAGGCCAACGCCGACGTCGCCGCGGCAGGAACCAAGCGTGCTCCTGGAAGCTGCCCTCCTCTCAGGGGCAACGACAGGGACATGGGCTCAGGGAGAGAGGGGGGGGGAACAACGACAGGGGGGTGGGCTGAAGGGGGGGGGAGCATCGACTCCCAATCGCCCGTGCATCGCCAATCTGATGGGCCTGATAGCCCACACCGCCCAGGAACGTGCGACTTCGATATCAGGGGTACGCCGCCGAACTATCGGCGATGCATCGCCGATCGAGAGCCTTACGGCCAGTGCCGCCGACCGTGAAGACGACGACGACGAGGACGAGGTGGAGGAGGAGGAGGAAGAAGAGGAGGAGGAGGAGGAGGTGGAGGAGGAGGAGGTGGAAGAGGAGGAGGAGGAGGAGGAGGAGGAGGAGGAAGAGGAAGACTCTTTAGGGGCCTCCAGAGAGTCTCTTGGGGCAAAGGGCTCCAAATGTCTGTCTCGGTCCTCCGTCCTGGGCTCCCTCTTGGCGCCGCCCTGGTGCTCTTCGGGGGGGGGGCCTCTCGGGCCGCCATGGGAGGCCTCTTGGGAGTGTCCTGCGGGCCTCTTGTCGAGGCAACGCAAGCATGGATTGAGGCACAGGGTTTAGGGTTAAGGGTTTAGGCTTTAGGGTTATTAGCGACCGGTCCCGCTTCCATGCAAGATCTGCGCGCTCCGCCACCAAATCGGGCGGCACTGGCGCTATTTCTCGGGGGTGCCTTCGCCGATCCATGGATCTGGCGACCGCGCACCAGATCCGCGTATCCCAAATTCCATGTTAGCGTGTGCCCGATCTTGGGGGCGAGGCTTGATGCCACTGCTTGCCCCAGCTTGATGCTTCATCCCCCCGCGCGCTCGGCCGCCGCCGCGGCCGGCCCAAGAAGCGACGTCAGACGCCCCTGCGGCGGCCGCCCGCCGCCGCCGCCGTTTTCGTCGTCGTCGCCGCCGCCTTCGTCGTCGTTATCGTCGTAGTCGCTGCCGTTTTCGTCGTCGTCGCCGACGTTTTCGTCGTCGGCGTCGTCGCCGCCGTTTTCGTCGTCGTCGCCGCCGTTTGCGTCGTCGTCGTCCTCGCCGCCGCCGCCGTGGTCGTCGTCGTCGTCGCCGCCGTTTTTCGTCGTCGTCGTCGTCGCCGCCGTTTTCGTCGACGTTTTCGTCGACGTCGATGTCGTCGTCGTCATCGCCGCCGTTTGCGTCGTCGTCCTCGTCGTCGTCGCCGTCGCCGCCTGCCGTTTTCTTCGTCCTCCCTCTGGCCCCGTTC